AGTGCCTTCGTGAGGGCTAAAGGCCGAGATAGACTTGTATGTATATGTATGTATATATAGACCTAGATGTAGAGTCTATATGCGGAAGGCATCCGAATGGTTAACGGACCTTGTGGTTGCAGAAAATGATCGTTATTCGGGATCTAACCTCCAAATCGTATCACTAGTCCCATTGAAAGACTATCATAAGGGCACAATTCAGGGCTAGAAGATAGACTCGATATGACAATAATATCCTGAGACTCTTGACTATTTAGACAACTCCCATTTCTGAACTCTGTGGAGGTCAATATTTATATATGCAGCTTTAGCTTCGATCTTTGCTCTTTCAACCTTTGCTCATATCCCAGAGAGCAAAGTCTGATTAGCTTCATTCAACAGGGATCTGAAACCTATACAAAATGCTTTCATATCATAATATCATGATATATCCACGAAATTCAATTGTCATTTCGCTCGAGTAAAGACTATTGCGCGAAATACATGAGGAGGTCATAGGTTAGGGTATGTAGTTGCCTCAGTAAGTCTTGAACACCTTCTTCTTTCAGCCAGCTGCGAGAATTGGCATGAAGAGTCTTGAGTACAATATTCCTTAGTACTCTGTCAGAGTCAGGGGTAGACGTGTACACCTCTTGCGCTGCTTCTAAGAAATCATCTAGGACCAATTTTCCTTTCACGGCCACCTTGAACTTTTCTAGGGCAAGTTTCTTGAGGCCATTGATGAAATACTTTTCTGCAAGTGAGTAAACCTTGGCGTGGAGGACGATATCCGTGTCTTTGTCATTGACATTGTGAGTCTCCATCTGGTGGATAGCCACCTTTCCAAAAAGGCTTGTAGAAGGGTAAATAGTGTCATCATCTTTGACTGCATGCGTTGAAGGCGTGTTATAGTCCAGGTGGTAGAAATAATGAACCATCGCGTCAATAATCTGGGGATCATCATCAGGCAGATCGATTATACCCGTACGCGCTTCCTAAGTCAGATGTTTAGCTGAACGAAACTATCGTAGGTTAATGGAATTCGCACCTTCATATCTCCCCGACAGGCAGCGGCAAAGAAGTCAGACCGTGGGCATACAATGGCCTTGTGTACCTGGTACTGTTTCCCATAACAAGTGATGATGAGATCTGAGTATTCTCCATTGGCATAAAGCCTGCCGAGAGCTGTATCAGCATCGTGAAAAGGCATAGATAGGAAGAGAGTAAATACTGTTTAAAGGAAGTCAACAGCTCTTTGGATGGTTCGTCCATGCCGAATACAGCTGGAACGACGGGACCGGCTGATTGTGGCGGAGGTGCTGTGGTGCTTGGGTTGTCCCGGGCAATGAAAAGCTCGGGAAATGCCGCTTCCGCTGCCCAACTAGAACGAAATATATTATCCTTCAACAAGGATTGCAATGTCTTTACAATGTCTGGGTCGTAACGGAGGGCTCTCGGATCATATTGTTGTACAACGGCGCGGATGGCTTTCTGTTTTCTCAGGCGTGAATTCTCAAAGGTACAGAATGTCCATTTCCATTCAAGGTACACCTTTTTCCTCTTAGATCTAGTATCCCACATGCCCTTAAGAAGTGGACTTGAATGAGCATGTGCCAAACAACGGACCTGGGGGGAGGGGGGCTAGATTGACAAACACAGAGGGCACATAGAGAGGGTTGGTTCTTGAACCATACCTTAATATCTATTAAAAACAAATCAGATCCGATTTTTTTTTATCCCTACACATTTTCGCTCACACTTGAGCACTTGAGGCAGTCCCTTGCTGCACAGATTAGTCGCCGGGTGCATGCAGATCGCGCCACCAATGACAAACATCTATGCCCAGGGTTGTACCAGCAACAAAACAACAACAACAACACGCTCCCTTTAATTCACCAAATGACGTGGCATTGAACAACAACTTACATGTGCCAGATCATCATGCATAGGCTTAACATTTTTGTACACCTCGTGTTATATATGCATTTGCCCTTTCACCCACGACTTCGAGCTTGATTTGTAGGATTTCTGCTTTGCTAATCGCGGTTTCTCACTAAAGCTCTTGGAAAACTCTAATATATTTATTATTATATTTTGCATTTCCAAAAATTCAATGTCTAGTGACTAATTCAGCCTATTCACTCTTCCTTGACCTGCCCTTTGCTCTTAGCAACCCCTAACACCATGGAGTGTATTTCAACAGTGCATGCGCTCTATTAATTGGGTATCTACCAGTATGTCTCATGCCTTACAAAGTAAAGAAAGTAAGGAAAAAGCTTAGTACTAAGCCTTTTTCAACTAGAATTTGTGAATCTGATCCTTTGTATATCCTAGCTCGCCTAGTATGCCTGGCTGCTTCCGGCTTCCAACAAGCGCATTCTCCATAGCTGGTGGACCGCAAACAAACACCTTCGTATTCTCTGTCTCAGGTGTCGCCTTCATCACCTTACTCAAGAGTTCTTTCGTAACATATCCTTTGGGGTACGGGGACCCAGGAACGGGGTTGCTAACGGTGTAGATGGCCTTGAAGCGAGTTGGGAATCGGCGCTCGAAATCCTCAAACTCTGACTTCAGTAGTACGTCGGCGTCCGTGTTCACACCAAACACAAGAGTTATGCGGGTTTTTTCCTCGGGGTTATTCAAGATGCCTTGGATCAGTTGATACATGGGCGTAATACCAGCACCTCCAGCAATGAGTGTGATGTCCTGGTGCTTGTTGGGCGTCCACTTGTATCCCGGAATAGGCGTTACAAAGCGTAGGTAGTCACCCGGTTGCAAGGAGTGAATGTGAGTGCTCTGTTTGCCATTAGGGTACTTCTTCACCATCAACTCAAGGACACCAGCCTCATCTTTGAACACTATTAGTGAGATACAATTATGATAATGACGGTCACGTGAGCTTACCACTTTTTGTGATGGGCGTGTAAGGTCGTACGCACGGCAGGAGGCTGCCTTTTGGCCAAGAAAACGTAAGCAGAGCAGCTAGTCGATCAATCAGCGGGGGTGTCTCATTCCAGGAATCTCTGGTGGTTTGCTTACATGTGAGCGGCAGTCCACTGACGTGCTGGTCTGTCGGCAACGCAAAGCGTAGTCTCTTGGTGTTGTGATTGACGGCTTCACTACTTTCTAGTTGAAGCGACAAGAATGCTGGACCACCGCCGAAAGCCTTTGGGGGGGCACCGCTGTCTGCGTGCGCAACACCCATCATGTATCGTGAGTAGACCCCAACCCCAAGACCAGCCAGCGCCACGCTTCCCACGACTCGGGGGAGCCGACCACTCCAAATGGTACTGGCAGCCATTTCTGATATATTTTGAGAGCGCGAAGGTTGTAGGACGCAGAAGAAAAAGAGAGAAAAAGGAGAGGTAAGAATAAATAAGTGACAGAAATAGAAGCACCAGATAAATAGATGGGATTATTGTCGGTGCTTCTTGTCACAGGGAGACGGACTGCCCCAATAAATTCCCTTCCTGTTTGGGACAACAATGGCGTCTGTGGTTGGCTCAAATAGTAGTGGACCTGCTGGAAACGCGATGTTGTTTGTACAGTAGATAGATGATTGTTTTCGCGCTGCAAGGGTTTCGGCAAATAGGATGCAAAATGATAGTCTCAGTATTGTCAATGCAGAATAATACAATCTAGAGAGAATTGTCCTTCGTTTAAGTATGTCAGCCTATAAAGAGGATGCTTATTTGTCGGTCCCGAATCCTTACAGTCCGAAGGGCGGGCAGGGGACGGGAAGTCGAGTCCGAAGTCCGATCTCAGCCAACTTATGGGCCGACTATCCTTCAATCAATCAACTAACAGCTTGTTTATGCCACCTATTATTAATTGTTTATCCATTGGTTATAGAGACTAGATATCTGCACAGTAGAAATTTAAAGAGGAGAAACAAACCCCGTGGCGCTCTTAAGCTTTTAATCAGTTTACATTTGCATCAATCACGATGTATCGTATGAGCGTATCTAACTACCTACCTACTTAAGTACTTAAGTTACCTAGGTATTGAAAGAATGGGTCTACCGGTGTGAGAGGTCTGAGGTCCGTTACCAGCTCAAGGCCGACAGCTGACATCGGTGACGGGAGCTTGTAAGCCCGCTAGAGGTAACCCTTAATAGTATACTTGGCGCGCTACTTGTCCATTCCACAGAGCCGGGAGCGTTTCAATTGGCCCGCACTAGTTAATGGCCCTACGTCACAGCAAAAAATGCGGGTTTTCTGGCTGACAGCTGCAGCTAACATGTTTGAATAATGTCGGGCTTCGGGTCTGAATACAAAATAAGACTTGGCTGGGTGGGCTTTGAAGCTTTCCGCAATTTCAATTTCAAATTAAATAACAAAGACAATTCCGCAAGTTTCGAACATCCAAGACAATACCAGCAAGCCGTCGCCTAAACTATAATTGCTAACCCATCACCCTCCCTCACCAACAAGACCAATTTGCGAAAACCAAAAGAAATTAACGCATACCATCGAAGTAAAGCAACCGAACGCATGCAGCCATCGCGAGAGTGGTTGATCAGGTTGTCCATGCATTCGAACCGACCAGTACCTATGTGTAGGAAGATACGGGCGGAGTGGCTATATACCCCTCACAATACAACAACATCGCTAGCCTATTTGCAATCCAACAAATAGTCAAGCTCGCGACCTCTAGTGAAATTGTTACTATCTCACTCAAGAATCGAAGAGTAGGTACACCACCTAGCAACTACTTCTTGCATGACTAAACACAATAGTTAAATATACACATGTTTATATACATACATCCGATACAAGGTAGCTTATATATAGCTTATACGATGACACAGATAGCAGGGCGTATATAAGTATGTCACGCAAAGGTATATAGCCCCTCTTTATAGTGGATACTTATTAATTACTACGTATCTCTATTACTTCCACAACACTAATAGGTAGTCATACCACCTCGCAGTACAACGCACGTCGAATTTATTCTTTTTCTCAAAGAAGAAACAAAATATCAGACCAGAAGATAAAAATGAAAATGAAAAAAAAACCGACAACGACAGGACTTGAACCTGTGACCCCGAAGGGATATGATTGAACTCAAGCATCTCATGTTTCTAGTCATACGCTTTAACCACTCAGCCACGTTGCCTTGCATTATGCTTGTCTCGTAGTTATACTCTATCATAATAGAGAACAACTCAGGGTGAAAACAAACCCATGAGCAAGTCTGGCACTCAATCGGTATTACCTTGTAAGTGGCACTTACACGCAAGTATAGTGGTGTTGGCACTACTAATCAACACATCTATCTAGATCACAGCTCTCCTTTTACTGGAAGTAGAAGCGAAAGTATAGGTAAATGTGACAGCATGACAGGTTAGAACCAACTCTTGGCATCAAATACGCATATGAGCAAAGCTAGGTCAACATAATGAAAGGAAAATTCAAGATCACTAGAACGGCTAGTGAATCGAAACGTAAGAATCCGGTCCAAGATTTATCTCCTATAACATTATGGTGGTCTTCATCGCACGTGCCTCTTTCAATTCATATACCCCAGTCACGAAGCGCTCCTATACTCTCCAACTAGCAGCTTGTTATCACTTATTGTATAACAATAGTGAACACCATCTCAAGGTGGCACGTTACTATAAGCGTTACATTATTACCTAATCCTCTATACAGGCGAATAAGTGCGACTAGTCTTCTAATGCCCGAGCCCCAGCAGGAAGGGACGGGAGACAGTCGACAGCTACAGGTCTCAATGTGATACACTGGATTGACATAGCGGGATATAACAACAGGCAGCAAGATAGATACGAACAGGCCCTATGAATTAAAACGATTCCATGTTTTGGACCTAAGCTTTGTCCAATCATAATTATACAATGAATTATTTGTGTTACGGTACCCAATAACACCTATCGACAAGGTCAAACGCCCGACTTGGTTAAGTTCTACTTTTATAGGGTTACGGTATGTTGCTGCATTAGTTGCATTCTATAACAATTTGGCAGTCATTATTACCGACTATGATCTAGGAGGTGATCATGAAGCAGTACGCCTTCTGAACAGCTAAGAGAGAAGGTTGAGAAAAAACAGTATGTTTATTTCCTGGGTTTTCAAACAATGTTCTGTCTATAAATTCTTCTTTATTACGCCCCGGTCCTAGTTTATAGTTCTCCTACACCTTAGCGCAATTTATGTTTTACTCACACCTTCCAGGCTACAACGAGTACCTTCGCACAATAACTGATATTGTCCTCGCAAACTATTAGAGCAACGAAGCAGGGCTTCTTCGGAACGACGCAGATTTCTCCTCAGTTATCCCTGGCCTAGTCGGCGCATTGACTGAATCATTGATTCCAACCGGAGGTAACAGTAGCAACAACACCATGACCAATTTACGCGACGCCGTGACTCTACAAACTCTCCCGCCAGAACTGCTCCTTCAAATCGCCGCCAATTTGAGCCCGGCAGACAAGATCAGAGCCGCGTTTGCCTTACCAGAAGTTTTCTTGACCCAGAACCTTCACATATTTTATTATGATGCAGAACGCCACTTGAACATTCGTTCGGACAAACCCCCCTCCACTAAAAAAGAAGAGAGCCGGTCACCATTAGTCATTGAAGCCATTGGCGCCCACTTGGGTACAGATTATATCGGGCGAATACTAGGCTTCTGTGAAGAACAATGCATTCGCCGTGGTGTTTGGCCCGATATATTCCTGAATTCTTGTTTTCCGGACAACAGGCCAGCAGATTCGCCACCGGCCAGTCCGACGACAGCACATCTTAGGCGCAACGTGATCCCACCCCTCCATGCGGCCGTCAAATTTCAATATCCCGAGGCAATCGGGTATCTGCTCCAGTGGGGAGCGGATGTAAACCAGGTATATGCGTTTGACGAAGTAATGGATGTCAATCCCTTGCAGTATGCTCTGGCACTTGTTGCCAAAAAGTATCAACAGCCCCTCGCGGCAGATGTGGTGTATCATCCACTAGATGACACCAAGTTGGAAGATATTGCTCTAGAGTTACTAGATCGCTATCCTTCTCTCTCTGCCTATGCGGATGACTTACGGAATCTCTCCCTCGACATGACTCTGGCATTGAATGGAGGACTCGAGCGCGTAGCTCTACATCTGCTCAAAAGAGTCGAGAATCAGGCTAATACGCTTAATCCGCAACTCCTACAAAGGTGCCAAAACATGGTGCTTGACTATGTTATACACCAGAGGTTTCGAATGCCACAGCTTCTTAAGTATATCCTGGAACGTGGCGCGTGTTATGAGGAGACTCGGAGTTTTATCAACGGGGTAGATTATAGTATGTACCATGCGGCGTGTTCCGTTGGTAATTGGCCACATATGATGGTTGTTGTACAATGGGAGGCCGACATGCACGGCCGAGACACGTTCATTGCCAAGATATAGGTACGTTGTAGACTCATCCTGACAACGATTCTGATCGCAAAGACCACATGAGAACCTGTCGGAATAACCTTTGAGCGAATAATTACATCCTTTTGGGGATGTCAACGATTTGGTTTGTTTTTCATTGCAAAAAAAAAAAAAGGTTGATTTTGGGTTGGAGTGACTGAAGCGATTTGCCTATGTTGTTAACGTTCTGTCAGCGTTCAATGTTAGTTAAAAGGAGGGAAAGAATCGAAAATTTTGTTAAGGTGTATCATAACTTAGACTTCTGGATAATATAACGAGATCACACGTACCAGTCTTAACATACTGAGAATACTACTTCTATTAGCCAATGCTGCATTACCCGCTTCCCGACACGTGACACGTTCCCTGACTCATAATATCCAACTACGGCCGTGGTCTTAGGACAGGTATAGAAAACTGAAATAGCAGTTATTTTCAAACAGTAGCTAGAATTAAGAGCCTATGTCTCATTTCAATTAATTGCCTCAAATTACAATTTTCACTACAAAACCTAGAAGCATCCAGCAGTTCACCTATCATCCAGGCTCATAGCCCAACATTGCTATCAATTAGTTCTCCCTAGCTTACTCCTCGTAACCCACAATCTGAGTGACTGGTGTTCCAAGGAACTTGGAACGAAACGAGGAGTATATTAGAATCGGAGTTTTTCCCTCCTTCCCAGGCTCCGGGTTTCGGGAGAGCTCTTTAAGCCTAGTTTCAATAGCCTCATGCTCTTCGACTGCATGATGTTGACTATTTGTTCCGCTTCCGGTGACTTCGTGCTTTCTACCTGTGTCCGTATTCTTTAAGTGCTCTTCGACCTCCGGATTTTTATTGTGTTCTGCGATCTCGATAAGTTTCAACTTTTCCGTCCACTTGATGTCAACTTCCTCTGTTCCTTCAGTAGCAACCAGCTTTATCGACTGCATGTTGGCTGTAGTCTCTCTATCAACTAGTGACACCAACTCTGGCTTGTCATCAAAGAGACCCTTTGTCATCATGCCTTGTTGAACCTGATCCCAGTGTCTTTTGGCGGCTTGCGCATCTATCCAAGCTTCCCTGGCGCGGAGCGTATCAGGCTCAGGAGGCGATAGGGTAGCTTTCAGCGCTGTCAGTGAGAGAATGAAAATAGTCGGAGCGGCTCTAAGGTCTGGTGCCATATTAGAATCCTTGGAACTAGTCATGATCGTAATCTTCGCGGGGTCGGCAGACCATGTGTCTTTGGGTCGTGAAAACTTGTCTTTTCGTTTTGCATCGAGGTTTCCATGAAAAAGTTCATTCCACACGGCGTCTTGAGGATCAGCGCCGAGGCCAACCTTATTCTTGCGGGGCTTGGAAATCCTTCATCTTGGGTGAGCATCAATCCAACCAATCTATTCTTCATGCCACTTACCACCCTAGGTGCTTCGTGAGGGCGTCGGGGTTGTGCGGGTCTGGTCCTAGACAGCCCCCTTCCTTCCATTCTGCGTAACCGTTGGTTTGAGACCACCGTTTGAGTAGTTTGTAACCAAGGCGATAGATGGTCTCGGGATCTTCATCCTCGCGATTACCCAGGCTGATCGAGACCTTCGGCTTCTCGATGTCTAGATTATTATTGAAGTCATGCTCGTTCAAAAGATACTCATCATGAACTGCTCGGCTGGTTCCCGATCCAGGAAATGTTTTGATCGCTTTCATTGAATCCGCCGTGACTCTTTCCCACCGAAAATAGTTCACCTCTCTAGCAGTCTGGTTGCCTTTGGTGGTATACGTGGGTCGAATCTGCTGGCCATTGATAATCAAGGGATGCTCCTCATGATAATATCCGGAGCCATCAGAGTCTTCGATTGCTGCAAGTTCGTGTCTCCATCTAGCATAGTGCAGAGTTCCAACGGGAGGGTCGTCAGGATGTACTCTGCCTTCAGGGCCAGGTCCATAGAACCGAATAGGCGCTGGCTGACGCTCACAGGCAAACAGTGGATAGAGCTGGTCATACTTTGCCATCAATGCGACCTCTTTAGCCAGTCTAGCTTTACCTTCAGCTGCGAAGGCCTGCCAGCCCGCGACTGCCTCGGTGGGTGTAGTGATATTATCTGAATTGTCAGACATGCTGACTCAAGCGACAAACAGCGTGTATGTAAATTATCGATGGGGGTGAACAAGGTGCGATTGCACAAGTTCGGGAGATGCAGAGAAGAGCACAAGCCTGTATAGGTGGACGGCAGGATCACAAAAAGAATACGGTTAAGAAAAGGATGTGGTGGGAAGTAGGAAGTAATCGGAAGTAGGAAGTAGGAAGTAGGAACTAGGAACAATGACCTGCGCTTGTTGTGTGAAACGGGCTCCGGATTGGTTACACTTTACACAGAGTAGTAGAAGTAGCGTCCTTAGTGTTAGAATGTACCTCCTCTAATGCCCATGTAGAACCTCACGATATACGGGTCTATGGGGAGCACACAAACAGCCATTCATAGCTGATGTATAGTTTGTTGGTTACCAACTATAGATACCTTTCTACCTCCACCCTTGTGTCTTTATACCACACTAGTGACACTACTACATACTTTGAAGTATCTACCTACTTACGCTTGGAGAGAGCAGGCCAGTGAGTCATCAGACGACGAAGGCAGTTGCAGCTGCAATGTACCATCTTCTAGGCAGTCAAGAACAATACCGCAACAGCACAGACCAAATGTTCAACCTACCTACCAAGTACTTATCTATGGTT